TCCTCCTCCTTACGCCTCCTTCCTATGTGATTATAAGCCACCACGTACTTCGTGACTCTTCCCCAGTCTTTTATTAGAAACTTAGCTGCTAAAATATTCTCTTTTGTAGAGACACTCAATATGTGAAGGGTGTGCATTTGTATTTAAATTCCTGGGATTGCCCTTTTAGCATGTTACCACTGAGAATTTCAATGCAGTGAATATTAACTTTTCAAATCAGCCTATATTAGAAGTGATGTAAAAATTACTTCAAAAGTTTAATGAAATCATAGGTTCTTCAAGATTGTGGTGATCCTTAACAAGGCATGGTAGAACTTTAGAAATTTTTAAGCTGTTTTGAAATTACTCTTTGTCTGAGGTGAAATGGCTGTACAAAGTCTAATATCCCTACGGATTTGTTTACATCCAGAGTTCACATTTCTAGTCTGGTGATTTGTGCACGTTTGAGACTTTTTAATAACAATTCAGTCTTGTGTTTAGTTGTTTTATTGCGAAAGTGGATTTCTAGTGTGTACACTAAATATTGTAAGGCAAAACATCTCTATTGTGACTTTAAAAATACAGTGCCATTCAATGAGACAGCTTCTGTCAACAGGCAGTGCTGAAAACGTTGAAGCCCTGAACAAGAGCCGTGTACCAACATGTTTGCAAGTCTTCCCAGGCTGCCTCCACGTTTTTACAATGGGGAATGCTACCTGTCTTTTTACTAATCTAAGTTCCACTGGTTACCAGTTTCTAAAGCTGTGATTTTTCTTTCGGTGCTGGCTTACGAAATAGAAAGATGCTTGTTCCTGGCTGCGGATTCCCAAAATGGGTCACATATTTTAATACAGTAGAGTCATTCCTTGACCCTTAGCAAAGGAAAGAGCCTTAAGAAGTTTGTGGGGTCCCACTACTTCTCAGTTCCACTTAAATTGGCCGTCCATACTTTTAAAAGTGAGCATGCTTGTTTGTGTGGATGGCTGCGTTGGCAGGGTGAGACAGCTTCTGTATCTTCATGTCCCAAACAGTACATCGAACTCATCAGTCTGAAGGAAAGGATTGTACCTTAGACACGGGGCTTTGACCGGCGAGCTAGCTCTGGGTCATGAGAACAGGTGCTTTCCTTCTGTTCCCCAGTATCTGGCAGGGCTTTCGGTCAGCGAATGTGTCCCTGGAGAATAATGGCCAGATGCACAGAATTCGGTGCATTAGATAAGAAGTGAAGTCAACAGGAGCATGCACTTCAAGGACTTGGCCTGTCTTTGATCCCGGGCTCTGTAACGTTTTCTGGGCAATGTGAGGTTGTGTTTCATCTTATGAAGGAGGAGAGATTGTGTGTTCATAAGCAATCTGTGTTCATCTGGGTAGACCAGAGAAACAGATCCATAGACACTCATATGAGTATAAGGAAGAGTGTTTTACACAAGATCAGTTGAATATGGAGAAAGCATCCCAGCCTGGTCCAGGTGAAGTCCGTTAGTCCGATATTATCCCATATGTCTGACACCAATCGATAAATTCCTCTTCAAACGCACGAACAACATGCAATGATGCCAAATGCAGGAGGATCACAGCCAAGTGGGTGGGAAGACTTGTACAACGAGTGGCGTTGTAAGCATGTCAGTGCTGGCAGGGGTCTCCATGTGCCTCCTCCAGGTCCAGGGTTCTGGCTGCATCAAGGTAGGTCCATGTGGTAGGTCCCAGGGAGTGAGTCTTGAGTCTTGTCAGTAGTGGGGCTCCAAGGGGTTGAGTAGTGAGAGAAAATGTCTCCCACCTTCAAGGAGGAAATACCAGAGTCTGCCCAGAATCCTCAGGGGAAGGC